GATGGTTGGGAACTAACCTCCGTATCTTCCACAATTTGCACCGTTCAAATTATGTACGATCTGGCAGATCAAGCTAAGATCCGGAAGATTAAGTCAAAATCTGGAAGATCAAGTTAACATAATCTATCACAATTTCCCACAACTACCAGAACTAGTTGTGCACAGCACAGGATGGATCGGGACCGGGGCCAGGGTCGGAGCTGGGGCCCGGGCCAGAGCCGCGGCTGGGGCCCGGGCCAGGGACTGGTGCCGGGACAGGGATCCGGGAGGGCCAGCAGGGCAGCGGTTGGGGCCGGGCCGGAGCCGGGGCCGGAGCGGGGCGGGGCCGGCGGGGCCAGAGCCCGGGCCGAGACCGGGTCGGAGCCGGGGCTGGGCTGCGAAGGTCGCGGGTTGGGGCTGGTATTGGGGCCGGGATTGGGACCAGGACCGGAGCCGAGACCAGGAGTTGAGGTTAGAACCGGGAGACCGGGAGACCGGGGCCGGAGCCGGAGCCCGGCCCGGGGTCGGGACCGGGGCCATAGGGCTGGGGCCGGAGCCGAGACCAGGGGCCGGTGCCGGGAGCGGCCCGGGCTGCTGCGCAGTTGCTTCGCAGGTGGTCTGCGAGGCGCGCGCAGCCGCGCTGCGCCCTTCCGCCGCCGGCTGCCGCGCGGCTGGCTGCCTTGAGGGCGCGCGTCCTGGCCAGGCTGGGCCAGGCCGCACCGTGGTGGCCTAGCCCTCGCGCTGCGGCCCAATTCGGTGCCACGAGCGTCTGCGGGCGCGCGCTGCCCCGCGCCGCGCTGCTGCTCCGGGTGTCTCCTCCAGGGAAGAAGAAAAAAAAAAAAAAAAAAAAAACAAAAAAAAAAAAAAAAAAAAAAAAAAAAAAAAAAAAAAAAAAAAAAAAAAAAAAAAAAAAAAAAAAAAAAAACGCGCCAGGGCCGGGGCCGGTGCTGGGACTCGAGCCAGGGCAGGGTCGGAATTGGAGCTGGCCGGGACCGGGAGCGGGGTCGGGAGCCAGGGCCATGAGCCGGGAGCATGGACCGGGACTGGGGCCGAGATTGGGGCTGGGTCGGAGCCGCGGGGCCAGAACGGGGACCAGGACCAGAACCGGTAGCCAGGACGGGGGGCTGGGGCCAGAGCTGGGCTGGGGCGGAGCCGAAACCAGAACCCCGGCCGGGAGCCGGGCGAAAACGTTGAACGGTCCCCCCCCCTGCAGTCGAGGGGGCGGGCGAAAGCGCTGAACGGGGGGCCCCCCTTTGCAGAGCGGAGCTCAAGCGAAGCTCAAGCTCACGCTCTTCAACGCGCTGGATCGGCGGATAACATTCCGAAATACCGGGGGCCTGGGTCGCGGGGGACAGCGGGCCCTTTTCTGGACTCCCAGAAGCTTCTGGGGCTCCCCGAGGCGTCCAGCTTGGCTTACAGGGACGGCAAGAAGCCGCCAGGACGGCCCAAGAGAGCTCCAAGACGTGCAGGACAGCCTCAAAACGGCCCAAGGTGCCCCAAAGACGGCCCAAGAGCGGCTACAAGAGGACCCGTAAGACGCAAACACTATTGATCTGCCACTGGTTCTCAACGATGTTCGCGCTCTCACTTTCTCGCGCATCCAACTTTCTAAGGCAGCCCAAAAACCGTCCCTAAATCTGGTAAGACCACCCAATCGACCCCAGACAGTGACCCAAGACGTCCCAGATGGTCCCCAATTCAGCCCAAGAGCGCTCCTGGAGACCCCCAAGCGGGGGCCCAAAAGGAGGAATCCGAATTCACAGAGCGAGCCTGCTCCCCGAAGACAACACTGGAGACCGCCACCAGGCCCCCAAGAGGCTTCCAAGAGGCCCCAGCAGCGCCCGAGAGGCCCCCCCAAACATCCCCCAGAAGCATCAAGACGTCCCAATAGACGCTCTATGACAAAAACCTCCGAGAGACCTTCCAAGAGACACCAAACAACGTTTCAGAGAGCCCTCCAAGAGCGCCCCAAACAGGCATCCCAAGAGACCCTCAGCATGGTTGCGCCCGTACCACCCCTTCCGGGGGGCCCTGAGAGGGCTTCACATGTCCCCGAGACGGTCCCGAGTATTTCCCACTCGGCGACAGAAGGCCCCAAGACGCACCGAGGAGGCGCATGTGGCATCAAGCGACAAATTGATGTTTTTCCTGCACGTGCCCTCGCGCGAAAGGTCTCATGCGATTTTCTGGCGCACGGGATTTCATCGGCATTGGATTGGACCACAGACTTGTTGTCCTGGAGTTCAAGATCCTGGTAAACAAGTGCCGGCGAGAGAAACGAGAAGGCAACCCAAATCGACGTGTTCAGCCGCAGAGCGGATATGGTGCCAAAATTGATGCCGAATTGCGTTCTCTTCGAATGTTTTGAAGAAAACGGAACAACACCGTCATCTACAGTCACGTATGAGAATTTGGAAGTTTGTCTGTCGCAAGCAGGTCAATGGAAAAGGAAGCGCGGCGAAGCAAGACTCGCGCAAGGCGTTCTTCCCACCGCATATGTTGGAGCTGATGTCTGAAAGACGGCCTCCCGAGCAGGAGAAGGAGGACGCTGGCCAGCGAAAGTCATCAGCAATTATGGGTTGCATCGTGCTGCTTTGCCTCGTCGCCGCGGCTCCTCTGGTGAACAGTGGGCGTTGTGGGAGGAGCGCGAGCCCCCCAGAAGCGTGGTGGGAGAGTCACCCGTTCTCTCTCCTAGCTGCATCGCTTCAGCTGCGTTGAAGGGGGGGGAAAGAGGAAAGGGGCGGGGTGCAGGGGGCGGGCAAGCAGGACGACCAGGACGCATGGGGATGATCATCGGGAGCAGGAGCAGCAGCAGTTACCCAACTGTTTCAGGAACAGGAGCGGGGGGGGAATCATATGCATGATCAGCGGTGACTTGACACGGAAGGACACCACGGCCACCGTGAGCGAGAGGAGGAATCTGAATTCGCTCCATTCGACCCCAGCAAATTCGACGACGATAGCAGGTCTTGCCTTGTGTAGTGCCATGGAAGATTAGATATTTCGCATCAGCGACCGTTTTTTTTCATTTCTGCACCTGTCGTTTCTGTACCTGGGCCCAACGCAGAAGGAACTGCGGATCATAGTGTCTTAGGCCAGCGACCAAGGATGGGTTCATTTACCGCGCAATATTGTGAAGTCAGTCTCGTTGCGTGAACTTGTTTGACGGGCTTGGCGGTGATATAGCCAGCTCCTTGGTGGAGCTGGCGTGACGTACCGATCAATGTGATCATCGTGTCCTTTTGCCCCCCGTTCTCCCCGTCGCCAAAAGAGGACGAGCGAGGTTGAAAGGTCAGAGTGAGGGGGCCGAACGGTCATTCACTGTCCCTGGGTGCGTGGCTGATGTGGAATTCCGCGGTGCGGATTCTTGTTGTTGTTGTTGTTGTTGTTTGTTGTTGTTGTTGTTTGTTGTCGTCGTCCCACCCGCAACCCGCCCCGCGACCCCCGCGACCCACCCCGCCCACCCAGCGACCCACCCGCGACCCACCCGCGACCCACCCGCGACCCACCCGCGACCCACCCCCCCGCGGCGACCCACCCCGCGCGACCCACCCGCGACCCACCCGACGACCCACCCGCGACCCACCCGCGACCCACCCGCGACCCACCCGCGACCCACCCCGCGACCCACCCGCGACCCACCTTCGACCCAAACCACGTTCAAGGTACAAACCACAATTTTCGGCGCCTGCGGCGGGTTTTTTTGCATTCCTTCCAAGTGGAGAGCCCGCGACACATCCCGTGACCAACTCGCGACCAACCCGCGACCCAAACCACGTTCAGGGTACAAACCACATTTTTCGGCGCCTGCGGCGGGCATATTTTGCATTCGTTTCAGGTGGAGAGCCCGCGGCCCACCCGCGACCACGTTCAGGGTACAAACCACATTTTCGGCGCCTGCGGCGGGCATCCTTTGCATTCGTTCCCTGTGGAGAACCCGCGGCCCACCCGCGACCCAAACCTCGTTCCGTGTACGAACCAATTTTTTTGGCGCTTGCGGCGGGCTGCTTTTGCATTCCTTCCAGGTGGAGGTGGAGAGCCCTCGACCCACCCGCGACCTAAACCACGTTCACTGAACAAACCAGTGCCGCACAAGCGCGGCGGCGGATTCTTGCATGCCGTCTGAGCCCGCAAGGACCTCTTCACGCCCCGCACATCCACGCCAGCCCGTCCAGCAACTTTGCCCTGCGAGTTGCCTTGATCAGAGAAGGCGGGGAGCATAAAGTGGAAAAAAAATTGCGTTGCAGTTATCTTGGGAAAGGAGGGGGAGGCAGGATGAGTAAACAGGGGACGAGGAGAACGTGGAAGAAGAGAGGATGCAAGGAGAACGTGGAAAAAAAAGGAGGAGGAGCAGGAGGACGAGGGGGAGGAGGGGGAGGAGGGGGAGGAGGAGGACGAGGAGGGGGAGGATGGGGAGGATGATGATGATGGACGACAATGGGAGGACGATGATGGAGGCCGATGAGGGGGAGGACGACAATGGGAGGACCATGATGAAAAGACGAGGGGGGGAGAGGGAGGACGAGGAAGAAGAGGAGGAGGAGGAGGACGAGGTGGAGGAGGAGGATGACGATGACGATGAGGACGAGGAAGAGGAGGAGGAGAAGGAGGAGGAAGAGGAGGAGAAGGAGGAGGAGGAGGAGGAGGTGGAGGAGAGCGCCATCGACAAGGAAGGTGGGGGCCACGAGGTCCGCCGGCTCGACGACGCCCGCGTCGCCCGCGCCCGCCCCCTCACTCTTATCCGCAATTGCGGGGTGCTACGTAGGAGAGGATATAGTCGAAACCAGTCACATGGACGGATAACCTTCCCGAGGGTACCCTTGCATCCGCGCCCCCTCCGTAGGTCCACCATCGATGACGTTCGATGGCCCACCGCGCCCGAACAAGATCCATGGGCGCCTATGGGGACCTGCATCCTCATCGCACCTCTTTGCCATCAGCTCCGACTGGAGGCACGAGGGAAGGGCACGTCTGCACCGGTCGTCGGCCCGCGCGGCGCGCAAGTGAAGCGCCTGCCCCAGGCGCCGCCGCGCGCCAGCGGCGCGCTGGGCCTCGCTTCGAGCGGCCGCCGCGCCCGGCGGCGGAGCGGCAGTGCAATGACGCGGACGGGGGGGAGGGAGGAGAGAATTTCGGACATCCCTTGCTTGGGGAGGAGGAGGAGGAGGAGGAGGAGGAGGAGGAGGAGGAGGAGGAGAAGGAGGGGGCAGGACTTGGCATCACTCGGACGTGTGCACTTTTTCTCGGTGAGGACCATCGAGGAGCATCGCGCGTCATCTTGTGAAAAGAGTAAACGCACGAGAGCGAAAAAAAACAGAGAAGGGACGTGCGAGCGATCACGAGAGGATGGGTGGGGTTTGGAGGAGCAAACGGCCACGCGCAGAGGTGGGCAGGGGGGGGGGGGAAGGCTTGAGGACCAGAGCTTGACACTGCGTGAGGAGGAGGGAAGCCCAGGCCAGAGCAGGGGGGAGGCGGCGATCTGAGATCGGTCAGCACTGGCTTCTCCAGGAGGGGCAATCCCGAACTGGCCCTGGGGAGCTCTTTCCTTTTTCGTCTGTTGGCGGCGCGCACAACGGGGTAGGCGGGGGGGGAGGTTTCTTAGAAGCACCCCTGATTCGTAGAGGGCGCGGGTCTTCTCTACAGATGTAGGGCCATCGCCCTCTAAGAAGCAGCCTCCCTCTAAGAAGCCTCCCCCCCTCCCCCATACCCCCTTGTGCGCGCCGCCGAAGGAGGCATGGGCCTCGGAGGAGCAACACGAGGGAGCGGGATGGATGGACGGGGGGCGGGTGGGAAGGTGGAGGAACGGATGGAATGGCGAGGGGGGAGGAGGGAAGAGCCTCGGATCGGCTCGGCGATGGGGCACGGCTGGAGCCTCGACGCCGTGCGAGACGCGCCGAGCACGAGCCACGAAGAGGAACAATTCGGCTCCAACGTATGAGTTTCGACAGCAATCCTCCTCCCTCCTCCTCCTCCTCCCTCCTCCTCCTCCTCCTCCGCCTCCTCCTCCCGCTTCCCTATAAAGAGCTCCTCCTCGTCGCTCCGGGCCGCAATCTGTCAGCGCCGTGCCCCCTTGCGGCCAGTAAGTCCCATTCAGCTATACTCTCATGATGCTACGGCTTGGAGAAGGGAAGAAAAGACATTCCGCGCGTTGGGTGGGCCGGATCGCGGTCACGGCATCCGCAGGGCTCTGCCTAAGACCCGATCAGTCCAGTCCAGCACGAGTGCACCCTTCACGGGAAGAGGGTGCGTGGAAATGTGCAGAAGGATTGGGTATTGTTGCAGTTGGGGGAAATGCATTCAGAGGTCCAAGTCCGATGGAGGAGCGACGACATCGAGGACGATCGGGAAGTGGCTACCAGACGAGGGAGCCAGCCGAACACTTGCTATTATTATGTGGGCTCGTTTCGTGGTCGCTCAAGCAGGGAACAGAATGTTTGCGATTGCCAGGCCCGCGCGCAACTTAGCGGCGAATCGTTGATTTCTGTACCCGTGAACACCTACCAGCGGCGGCTTTTCCATTGGCGACCTCTCGCGCTGCAAGTGTGGCCTCATCAGTGAATCTTGGACATTAGGTGGGCCAAAAACGGGCCAGGCGTGCTGTCGAGCGTGTCTGGGAATGCATCCGCGCGATCCACGAGCCAGGCCGCCCACCCCATGACCAACCCGCGACGTGCATGCCATGGGCCTGCTGGCCCCATGAATTCACCGGGTCAGAGGATGCGCGACAGAACCAGACATTGTTCCTGCAACTGTGCGGGGGGGGGGGGGGGCGGCCAGCAGTCCCAGGTGTTGGGCGGTTGGACGCCAAAGGATGGGTGGAAAGAGGATGGCGGAGAGATGGAGTGTGTGGGGGGGGGAGGGGCGGATGAGGGGGAGGATGGTGGAGATGGTGAAGCCTCTCTTTCTCTGAAGGCTTCCTGAGGACGCGCGCCCAATTCTCACCGCTGGTCTCAATGAGCGTCGGCCCATTAGGAGTCCTATTGTTGTTTTGGGCGCGGACCGAGAGCAGGAGGAACAGCAGGTGGAAGAGCGGGGGTGGACCTAAACGGTGTTTTTAGTAATTTCCTGAGCCGTTTTCGTGTCGACTTCGTTTTGCAGCAAGGGCGGATTGGAGACAAAAGCTAGGGAAGACGAAAACAAATAACACCGTTTAGGTTCAGCCCTGTGGAAGAGCGTGGGGGCGGGGAGAGAGCGGCGAGGGGCATCGACGCAGACAGAGAGGCAGCCAAGAATGGGACGAGGCTGAGCAGGGGGCGGGGGTTGGGCGCGTTCACCTAGCCTGGCCGTAAAGCTTACAGCTTACGGTGTGCGTGAGCAGACATTTGCTCGTCATGCGCAGCACCCGGTGGATATTGGGCTGCTGGTAGCAGGCAGAGGACAGGTCGTGGAATTCTTGGTTGTCGGCTCTGGGAGTTGGAAAAGTTTGACGATGTGGCCACGATATCGCATGCCATTGTATTGGGTTCGTTCCCATTGGCTCGGTGGAGTCGCATGCCACTGTGCTCGCTTGCTCCTTGTCGTTTCTAGTATTGGCGTGTTCGTTGGTACGCGTGTGGTTTGGGTGTGCATGGCATTCGTAAGATAAGGGCTACCGTTTCAATCTTGACCATTGCACGGTATGGGTCGGATGCTAGGCACGCCCAGCGATGCCGCCCGCTCGCCATTGCGCTGCATGCCTGCGGCTTGGCACGGCTGGGCTCACGGAGTGTTGGCCAGAGCATACACATCGGGAGGGCAGGATGCACACGTGTGAGATCTTAGTTGTGATTGCACGCGTACGCGTTGTCGGCGCTCGTTTTCCAGATTGTTGCTCGCAGTACTGATTCGTTCGGGGCTCGGCGCTGACGGGGGTCGGCCACTCCCCTCCCATCGGGGAAACGTTAGACTCTCGTACGCCGGAGCTCGGGCTTGCCCACGCCTTTTTTGACGAGCGCGTCCTGGATTTTTTGACGGTCCAGTTTTCGTGGGATGTCTGCAGCGGGGCCTCGCGTCACATCTCAGATTGGGCCTCGTCATTTCCACGACGGACCCGTCAGGCCAACCCGATTCCCCGAGCCCGAGTCTTACGTCTCCCCGATATCCGAGAGATTACCTGACTGACCCGGGTTTGGGAGCCGCGCGGGGACGGCCTGTGCCCACCCCTTCCTTGCGCTGCGCGAGCTCTAGCGGCAGGGCCTTGGCTGACCCAGATTTGCGCCTGGGCTCGAGCTAAGCGGTGGTTTGGCGGTTTCGTGGACCGTTCTCGTTGTGCTTTCGTTTCGCAGCCAAGGCAGAACGAAGGCAGAACGTAGGGAAACGAAAACACAGCGAACACGAAGAACACGGCTCAGCTCCAGCCGTGGTTCGCGCTGACCCAGGCTAGCGCGTCTTTGATTCATGACCATTTAGTTATTCGAGTGCAGGGTGGGCTTCGGTAAGCATCACGAGGCAGGGGCAGCACACAGTGATTCTGGGCCGCGTTCGTAGCGAAGCAGCGGGCGTGTAGCTTAGGAGGCCGGGCCAGGGTGGGATGCGACGCAAGGGGAATTGGATCAGGGGCAACGTTGAGAGGGGGGAGGGGGGGTAGGCTCAGGGGGGGGCACCCCGCCCAGAGCCATACTGATTCGCTATCGGAGGCTGGCGCCGATCGATCGGCGGTGAATCGCCGATTCAAGCTCGATGTTTCCCCCCCTGAGCTGCCCCCCGCCCTTGCGTTGCCCCGCTCCGGGGGGAGTCCGATACAAGGGAATTGGATCGCTGGAGGCTCAGGGATGTTGAGGGGGCCTCCCCTGGTCAGGAGGTAGCCGGGGGTGCTGTCTCTATGTATTGCGCGAGGAAGGCGTTCCCTATTCGCTTGACGCATAGAGGTGTGGTGGGCGAGGAAGACGCTGGAGCGCCAGCATCCTTGAGAGGGCGCGGGTGTGTCTTGGGCGCGTGGTGCGTAGCAGCCCGCAATTGTGGATGACAGTCAAGGGGAGGGGCGGGCAAGCCCAATGCAGAACAGCCCGCCCGCAGACGCCGATGATTCAAAACTGTGTGGGTGGGTCCAAGATGGATCTTCGGCAAGCCGGCGTGCAAATCGCGCGGCGGGTCGCGGGTGTGCGGGTGGGTCGCGGGTCAGGTTGCAGGTGGGTCGTTGATGGGTCGTGGGGCGGGGCGCAGGTGGGTCGCGGGGTGGAGCCGACAAAAACGATACAACGGTAATTTTTACAGCAGAACTCGACTTCAGCCACGTACACCGGGACAGACAGCATAAAATCGTTCGGCGGCCTCTCTCTGATGATGAGGCGTATTAGGAAGTAGTGATTTTAGTGAAGGGCGGAGCTAGGAGCAAGAGTGGATTGAGCAGGGGCGCTCGTTGGGGACTTCAGCGGAGATCAGGTCACTCCCCTGGCGCTGCTCCACAGGAGCCGCCATGCCATGCCTATCGGATGTTGGAGTCATGACTGGGAGGCAAGAGCATTTCTCTTCTGGTTGAGGTCATGTCTTCAGGAAGCGGTGGTGTTCTTGCGCGCCCCAAGGCGGCATGACCTGGCAAGCCCATACGCGCTCTCGAGCAGGAAAAGGGGGTGAGAGGGCATGGTGGAGCAATTGGGGGACAGGGAACCCTGACCAGACCAAAAAGGAGGGAGCAACAAGAGGGCAAGGACCAGGAGGAAGGACGAGGAATGAAGAGGAGGGGGACGGAGAGAAGGAACAGTGTGGTGGATGATTCGAATAGTGTGAGAGGAGAGGGCACCCCGATAGATTATCTGAACGTGATTCCGAGCAGGTAAAACCCGTTTCTGGCCAGGTGTTTTCGTGCCATCGTTTACAATTTCTCATGCTAGAACACAAAACCTATAGCTATACCAATGGAAAGTTTCGCACTTGGAAACTGTTGCAGGGTGCAGGAAACCTTTAGCCCGCAGCCTGATGGCCCCCAAGCAGGCCGGCGGATCACATCATTGATTGCATTAGATTGTAAAGACACATCCTTCCAGATTCACGCTTGCGAGCATTGTAGAGGTTTTGCCATCAAGTGAAAGTCTAAGATCAGCGCATGTACACCGCATGGTATCATTGGTCCCGGGAACTGGCGGGGCCGGGTGAGGTTGCCGCACGCATCGTAGTGTTTTCGAATGGAAAGTGCATACGTGTGGCCCGCTGGTTCATTTGCAAGGGAATGCTCGGGCCAGATGGTGCCCAGTCAAGCTTGATTTGAACAGTGAGAATATCATGTTTCAGCGTAGAATGGTAGAGTAGGGCAGGATAGCTAGGGCAGGACAGGAGAAAGGTAGAGCAGAGTAGAGCAGTGCCATGTGGGGCAGGGCAGAGTCGGCAATGCCGAGTAGAGCAGAGCAGAGCAGCGCCAAGTAGAGCAGCATACAAGAAGGTATGGTCGATGGTAGTGGTGTAGGGCTGCGTTGTGTACACTGGAGCAGACTACAGTCGAATTTGATTAGTAGGTCGACCCTTCCAGATCAAGGGCACCCTTGTGTCCTGTGCTTCGCGTCCCACGTCCTCTGCAGTCCTGGGGCAGCGTGGCCCTCCTCAGAAGGGCTACGTGTCCTCTCGCGTGCCCTCTTCAGTCAAGCCCGATTGTAGAGCAGCGGACACATACAGGCTTGGCAGAAAAGAGCGATCGATCACCTGCATGGCATTCGTTGCCGTATCCGTGTTCCTCTAGTTCGTATGTGGAGCCAACGATGGTGAGCATCGTTTCCTCTGTATTGTAGTGGCCTCCGGCCAGTGCCGCCGATCCGGGGCGCTCCGGGTGCCTGTGGAAATGAACGACGACGAGGAAGACGAAAACGACGACGACAACGAACACGTCGACGACGACGACGACGACGAGAGCGACGACGACAACGACCACGACGACGACGACGACGACGACGACGACGACGACGACGGCGACGGCGATGACGACGACGGCAACGCGAGCGACGACGACGACAATGACGCGAGCGACGACGACGACGACGACGACGACGACGACGACGACGACGACGACGCGACGACAACGACGACGACGACGACGGGGGGGGAGCTGGGTTGCAGGGGGGGGGTGCTCTGCAGGGGGGGGTCCGCTCGGCAGAGGGAGGGGCTGCAGGGGAGAGGGGGGGTCCGCTCTGCAGGGGGGGGTGGGGCTGCAGGAGGCGGGGTCTGCTCTGCAGGGGGGGGGGGCAGGGGAGGGGGGGGGTCCGCTCTGCAGGGGGGCGGCGCTGCACGGGGGGGTCCGCTCTGCAGGGGGTGGGGGGGGCTGGGCTGCAGGGGGGGGGGTCCGCTCTGCAGGGGGAGGGGGTGCAGGAGGGGGGGTCTGCTCTGCAGGAGGGGGGGGCAGAGGAGGGGGGGGGTCCCGCTCTGCAGGGGGGGGGGGCAGGGGGGAGGTCCGCTCGGCAGGGGTGGTTCTACTCTGCGGGGGAGGGGGTGCAGGAGAGGGGGGGAGGGTCCGCTCTGCAGGGGGGGGGCTGCAGGGGGGGGGTCCGCTCTGCGGGGGGGGCCTGGGCTGCAGGACGGGGGGGGGGGGGGGGGGGGCGCTCTGCAGGGGGGGGGGTCCGCTCTGGAGGGGGGGTGTGCGAAGCACTGAATTAGGTCGGAAATGAGGTCCCCCCCCCTGCGAAGCACTGAAGTAGGTCGGAAATGAGGTCCCCCCCCCCCGCAGAGCGAAGCTTGAGCGAGCTCAAGCCTACGCTCTCAGAAACTCACACGCCGGATCGGCGGATTTCGGGGGGGGCCTTCGATTGCATCATCCTTCTTCTCCTTCTACTTAGTTTTCAAGAGCGAAGTGGGAAGTGCGACACCATCGGCGGAAGCACACATGGTCTGCATTCGGTTCATTCATGTGGGCTCGCGGGCACACGCAGCCATTTTCGGCTTATCAGTGGACAAGCCAGCGGCTGACGGAGTTCAGGTGGAACGTTTTTGGAATAGAGGAGCAGGAAAGAAAGATATTGCGTTGGCACAGCAGGAGGTCAAGCAAGTCCATTTATACCAGCCGCATTTGAAAAGATTTTCCGTGAGTGAGAGCCCCGCCCAATATGTGATACGAGATTGCGCAGCAGTGATTGGAAGTGTCTCTTGTCGCCATGGGTATGCCTCCAAAGTTGCAGTATTGGGCGATTCGTCGCGTGGCTTACCGCCGTCTGATCCAGTTCGGTTGATGTGGCGCGTTCCAGAATTGTTCTCGCCGTCGAGAACCGAAGGAATTGGCACCCCTTTCTCGGCGGAAGGACGGCGGATGGCGGCGGAAGTAAGACGAGGCCGGCGGAAGTTCGGCGGAAGGCGGCGAAAGTCAAAGATGTGCCCCAAAGAGATGGCAACAGTTTTGGATTCTAGGGTTTTCGGAATCCGCCAAGTGTTGGGGGCATCCTAAGGATTTCATGACCGAGGTTGCATCAAAGTTCAGCCAGTTGTTTGGGTTCGTAGCATGAAGTTTCGAGTTCGTTCTTGCCGTCGGCCGTCGTTCTAACACAGAGCGATTGGGTGCGAGTCCTCTCCGCGCAGTGCCTTTGTTGCACCTCCTGTTGCCTCTCTAGCGGTCCTGCCTCCTTGGCCAGGACCCATTTCGATCCGATCGACGGGAATTGATGTCGATTCTAGCTGGCCCGATCCGCTTCGATTCCGACATTCCAGCCATCCGATGAGGCCTGATGTTTGTATGGCGTTGTTGTGCATCCTGGCGCAGCCGATCTGATTCGATTTCGGTTACGTGCCGATGCAGCTCGATTCGACGCACATTCCGATTCGGTTCGATTTTCCGTTGTCCTCCTCCTCCTCCTCCTCCTCCTCCTCCTCCTCCTCCTCCTCCTCCTCCTCCTCCTCCTCCTCCTCCTCCTCCTCCTCCCCTGCCGCCCGCAGGTGGCCGCGCTCGCCCTCCGCCCCCTCTGCCATGGAGCTCCCGCCCCCGCCCCCGGCAGGCCCCTCCCCCCCCCCCGCCGGGCGAACAAGCGCGCCAGGGTCGGCGACTACAAAGGTCGACTAGACTCAGGAGTGACCTTTCGCAGGAGTGACCTTTGGTGCGGGCCCACTGGGGTGCCCCGATCGCCGAACGCGAGGCGGCGGTGGCGGTTTGCGCGCTTGCTTCTGGTTCCCCCGCGGCCACCAAAAAGCCGCGCACCAAAGATCACTTTTACCCAGCGTCACTCTTGCGTGTAGCCGAAAAGGATCTGGTTACGCCAGGGTGTGGTTTGCAAGCGGCACCGTTGGGGCCTGGGGAGCATGACACTGTCCTCGTCGGGCCTCCTCGGGGGGCGGCGGAGACTCTATCGAGGTCCCCGCTCGCCCCCCCCCCCCAGGGTGCCCCCCAGGGTGCCGGTTGCAAACCGCGCCCTTTTGCAAACCACAATTCTCGGAGTCGCCGACAGGGAGGGCGGGCGGTGCAGAAATCGAATAACACAACATTGTTGACGCTTCTCGTATCCCCACCAGCTGCATGGATGTCTCGTGTGGTTTATCCTACGTCTAATCCTCGCCCTCAGCGTTGTGTGCGACTTTGGTGGCGCCACTTCCTTGCACTAGTTTCCTGGTCAGTGAGTTCTTCCCGGCCTTGCTGGTGTCTGCGGTCCTTCGTGATGGTGCTTCTGGCCTCACCCTGGAATCGCTCCCGCGCCATTTTGACTGCGCCCCGACCTCGGTTGGCTAATTTGCATGAGCTCGTTCCTGGACCTGTTTCCTGGTAGCTGCAGCCCGCACTACCTCCCGCTTCCAGTCCGCCGAGGTGCCGCTGAGGCCTCTGTTTGCTGGCGCGTTAGGCAATTAGGTTCATGCGTGGCCCGCCCGTCCCGTTTGACGCCGCCTGCGTTTTCGCTTGCGGCTGTGACAAAAAAGTATCCCCACCAGCTCTTGGGTAAGCGTGGCGCCCGCGGACTTCCACTCCTTGGTCGTGTGTGGGTTCGCTTTTTTCCATTGCACATGCATCCAGTTCGACACCTCCATGGACGTGTTCCCGGTGCCGCTTTGTGATGCCGTCCGCGCCATTTGGTTGCGCTGAGCTCCGCCCCGCTTTGTGCATGGCGTTGCTCGCCCTTTGTTTTTTTCTTTAGTTTGTGGCACGGCCTGCCCCTGTTTGCTCGGCGTTCGAATCGTTTTCGCGCGCCCGCGTACCAAAAAAGTACCCCCACCAGCCCATCCAGAAACGATGCCCAAGGGAGATGACGTGATTAGGGAATTGGGGAGCATGCAGAAGAACAACGGGCGGGGAAATCCGTCCGATACCCCAGGAGGCGGAGGATGGTGGAGGAGAAGGAGGGGGAGGAGTAAGAGAAGAACGAGAAGGAGGAGGAGGAGGAGGGCGATGAGGAGGAAAGAGGACGAGACTGTGGACAAGGAGGAGGAGGTCGTTGTTGTCGCTTCACGCACCCTAGCGAACGTGGGGGCGGCCGTGCTTGTCTAGTCCGATGAAGCATGATGGCAGTTCCGCGATATGTGAGTTGATGTGTGCTGAACGAAGCACAATGGCCAAACTATGATCCTATCCTTTCGGGTGCAAAGCGG